GTGTGTGTGTGTGTGTGTTATCGATATTGAATTTGATACGCTAATATCATTAATCACATTCAGTATCAAACATCAAATATTTCTACACAGTCTAATTCTTCAACAATTTGGGTTTCTTTTCCCTAATTATCCCCGTCTATGTAATCCTGAAAGGAGAATCAGGCCGAACCATTACTCATTTTTCCTATTGTCGGCTCTCTCGGCTCCTTTCGCCTCAAAGAAGCCGGCTACTCATTTAATAATGTCTTTCTATCCTGACTTCCTTCTCCACCCCTTCAAAATCAAACATATATAAACATAAAACATCCTATCTCACACAAGAACAACACAACTACACAGAAAATAAACGCTTGGAGTGAGTACAAATACTTTGATTAAATCTAAAAGTTCTAACATTGTATAAACTCATTTTTTCTCACCTCCTACATGTATTTGTAAAATTTAAAATACGTTTATAAATCCCTGGCCCTGAAGATGATATCAATAAAGATCGAAACGTGGCACGATAAAGAAAATGTTTTTCTGAAACCTGCGTCATACCAGACCGCATTTCATGATCTACAAATTATCATTGCGTTTTAAGAAATTTTTCCTGTTGTATTTTTATTAATTATAATTTGTTATGTTTGGGTAAAATTGTTCCGTCCTGCGAGTGGACGAAGAAGATTGAAATGATCACGAGCAAGGATTTCACATCGTGATGGAAAGATTTATTCCAAGAAATTCCTTGCCAATTTTGCATTTATTTTTAGATTATCTTTCTTACACCAGTAATTGATATATTTGTTTACACATTTGGAACAACTCACTTCGATGTCGGTTCTAATATGTGTACATTTATCGACGTTTTTGACTGCTATTCTATAGTGCTCCTTTTGGAAGATTTTTCTTCACTATTGCATTATCTTTAGTTATATTATTTTGTTCTATATCGTCTGTTTTTCTCAATAGTAATTATTTTTTTATGCTTTTACTGAACGTGATCGAAAAACTGTCGCAACTCAGAAGGAATTATAAAAGCGTCTAAATAATTCAAAGCGTTCACAAATTTGCATATGAATAAAATTGGAATTGGCGTTCTTATAAAATAATATTCCCATCACGTGCGTTACATCCGTTAAAAAAATTAAAATATTTATATTCTTGTGTCGTGTTTTATAAATATAATGTAGTATTTATTGTAAGTTGTTTAGTAATATTTTCGTATACATTTATTATGAATTATCGATTGTCTTTTTCAGATCAAAAAAAAGTTTTACACTTATTTCTCTTCTCTTTTTTTCTCTTATAAACGACCCCCAGTTCGTTCCAAGATTTTTACTGCTAACCTCGTTTCTCTTGCCTGTCTGATGATTTGACTTAGACATTTTTATTGAATTAGTTTAATTATAATTTTTGTACGTTGTTTTTTTTGTCGTTCATATTTTTTTCCTATGCAAAGTGTGACCTATTTTCCTTCCCTGACAGAAAATTATTAATTTTTCCTCTAATATAATTGTTAATCTTTGCCTGCAAGTTAGTACAAATAAGAACAAATAAACACGTGTTGGCTGATATTGTGAGATATGGATCAGGTTGGAAAGAAGACACTGTGAATAGGTGGGTCATCATTGAACAAGGATTTTATATTGAAAACCAGTTATAAAAATTAAAAGGCTACACATCACTCATTATCGTCAAACATGCAGCAACTCATGTTGGCAAAATTCAAATCCTTTTTGAACTACGTGAAAAATTAATATTTCTCAAACATCATAAAAACGAAATAAAACGATACAGCATCTTTCCCTCTCGGTTTTACACCAGTTCAAAAGTTAGTTCAACAGTATTTATCGTAAACAAGGGAAAGCTACCGTTTCTAGACATCGAGGCTAGTCGGGCTTTTTAATAAAAATACATTGGAAAAACAATTTTCCCTTCCATCCGAATTTACATATAAATAGGATACTCTTGATATTGTATTCCTTTATTTGTTGAAAATATGAAAAAAATTATCCTGGCTGAGAGAAACTTGGCAGAAGCATTTCTTCTGGCGAAGTTTCTTTCACTAAGAAGTATCTCGTATTTTCATTTAATATTTAACACAACCGTTAAAAAAATAAAACTTATATAAAATGCCGTAATATTTTTTTTAAACAATATAAAATAATGCTTCTCAATACGAACTTGTATAACTCCTAATGAAATGTAAATTAATTATGTCAAAATAATTTATATTAAATTCACTAATTTCGTGGTCCGCTTGACCAATTAATATATTACGATTAATAAAGGTTTTTGTCTCAACTAAAAACCTTAATTAATCGTAATAATTTATATTATGAAAGCAAAATAACAAATAAGTTCGATGAAAGAAATGTTGAATAAAAAGAAACTATATCTATGTACGTAAGAAACTATAAACGTTAAAAATATATTTAGGGAAAATGTAAATTTGCTAGCTAGTTTGTTTATTGACAAAAATATTACGACTACCTTTACTATTATTAATGGTATTAATAAGATGTAATCATGTACTGGTAAAAGTCAAATAAAGCAAAATAATCCGCTGGGTTTTCAAGGCAAGAATGCAAAATAGACAAATATACATTTTTTATATTATTTTCGAACTTTTCGGGAATCGAACTAAAAACGACGTACCAAATAATCCTCCGATACCCTAACCACAGAGCCAAAGCACACGTTCTGGTAGATCACTACGGTTTTAATTTAAACTATTAAACTAATACATGATTAATGCAAATCTAATTTTATCTTTAAACGAAAGGAAAACATTTATCAAATTAAAAGTGGTTTTACCACGAGCAAAGAGATACATTTTTTAAACAAATATAGACTTAGAAATTAATTACAGTTAAGTTAATTACAGAAAAGTTTAAAATATATTTCTTCTCCAATATAGCTCAGAACGTTTCTGATGATCCTATCAATTTTAGCTGAGTTTATTTTGAACAAATTCACGGGCAACATGATTCCCAAATAAAAAATAGATGCTATTTATATTGAAAGAAAGATATAGATAGATGAATATAGAGAGAAAGAAAAAAGAGGGAATATGAGAGAAAAGGGGATAGGTAGACAGAGAGAGGGAAAGATGGTAAGAGGGAGAAAGGGAGAGAGAGAAATTTGAGAATAAGAGAAAATTTAAGTTATATGTATTTTGTATGTACATTAGCATAAGGACAAATAACCGAAACCTCGCGTGTTGTATTTTTACACGGAAATAAAGCGAAAAAGATATAGCGAAAAGGAGAGAAATAGAGAGGGCGAGAGAAGAAGTGAACGAGAGAAAAAGAGTGAGAGGGGAGAGCCAAATGAAAGAGAGAGAGAAGAGAGAGAGAGAAAGAAAGAGAGAGAGTAAAAGAGAGAGAGATGGAGAGAGAGAGAGTGAGAGAGAGAGAAAGTGAAAAAATGAAAATGAGAAAAAATTTAAGTTATATGTATGTTGTATTTGTATTATCATAAACGCCATGATAGACAAATAACAAAAGTCACGCATATTGAATTTTATAGATAGATATAAAGAGAAAAATTTGAGATATGACTTCCTGGTCCAATATTTTTTGGTACAATGGCAAATAAAACAAGCCACGCATATTGAATTTGAAAATGGGAAATAAAGAGCGAATGATAAAGAGGGAAAGAAAAAATGATTGAATGATATAATGCAAAAAACCTTGGTTTAATATTTGATAGGAATGTAATTCGTCTATAATTAAACTACATCGCTTCGTAATACAAAACATCAAAAGAGTTTGTTTGTTATGTTACGTACAGCAAGAAATTAAAAATGAACTCTTCATCGGAGAAAATCGTTTACGCCCAACCCTAAATTTCAACTCAAATGGCGTCTCTTTTACATATTTTTAAAAAATAAAAAAATAAATCGGTTTGCATTTCGAGACGACGGTGCGCATTGAATGTTTCCAGGCAATTAGTGCAACTTGGTTCCTCCAGTTGTAATATTTGTCCTTTTTCCGACTCTATTCCTGATTCCATGATGTCCTTGCAAACATTCCTTCCTCTTTCTCCAGGAGAATTATTTAGTTTCCACGCGAAAGAAGGGCCAGATGAGACTGTATTATTTAATCAGTTTGTTAAAAAAAAATCCGGTACTGGGTTGGTTAAGTCTGCGGAATGCTGCAGTGATGCTCTCTGCAATGCAAAACAATGACAGTGTTTTGATTTTTGATGTTTTGATTTCAAAGGCTTGTACGTCAGCATCTATTTTGCAACATTTCCCAGAAGTAGTTTCAACTAATTACATATACAGGAGTTGTTATCATACTCCTGTCCGGCAATAAAAATTTGGCGTCGGCAGTAAGGTCTACTCATTTAAATTTCATCGTGCTAATTTTTGCGAAATTTTTGTTTATACACATGTTGAAGTTTTTTTTTAGAAATGGCGCTTTTTTTTGGAACCACTGTAACGTAGGTTTCAGAAAACATTTTCTTTATCGTGCCAAGGTTTCGATCATTATTGAGATCATCTTCAGTGCTCAAAGTGTTTGTTTTCTACGTAAGATCCCTGAAGATGATCTCAATAAAGATAGAAACGTTGGCACGATAAATAAAATGTTTTTCTGAAACCTACGTCATATCAGACCGCATCTCACGATTTCCGAATAATCGTAGACTAACGGTCACTAATCACCACACATTTAATTATTTTAATTAATTTTAATGTTTTTATTAAAGAATGGTTTATATGGTTAGTAATTTCCTTTAGATTAATGTTTTTAATGTAAAGAAAAAATGTCTGATTTTTCCGATTCAACTACTTCTTTTTTTCAAATGAACAAATATCATCCTTAACTTTCCCCAACATTAAGCACGGAATAGCACCCGAGAAAAATAAGGGGCAGGGGATGTTAGGTTGAAACTTAGATTCTTCTCTTTTCACCCATTTTAAGCGTTACCCAATAATCCATTAAAGCAAAGAACATTCCAACTTTTATCCGGATTAGTTTTATTTCACTATATTTTTTATTGTTTTGCAGGATCAAGTTGCGACGTTAAGTTGAGCAGCGATTTTTCGACGAACGGCAGCATCACGTCTCCCGGTTACCCAGGTCCTTATCCGCCAAAAACAACCTGCCAATACGAATTTTCCGCATCGGGCCGGCAGCGCATCCAACTCGTCTTCACGGAGTTTTCTTTATTTATGATAAACGAATTTACAAAAGAGTGAGTTTACCATTTTACTATTTTTATACTTTAAGTTCGTACATATTTTTCCTAGTATTATACCTAAGGTAATACGCGTGGTTGGTTTGTAAAAGACGAAATTTGTTTTAAAAATGTTTTAAATATGTTCATTTCAAACTGATTTAGAACTATCTATCTGCGAATCTAAACTTTTATTTGGTATGTTTTTGGGTTTAAATTTAATGTCTCTGAGTGGTTTTTAGCTTTATTACAGTTTATGACTTTTAAATTGTTTATTTCGTTATTTTTAATATGGTTCATTTTTCAATACTTAATTGTTCTTAAATGTGTGGTCATTATTTACTTTTCTTATTCCAAAAATTGTTTTGTTTGTAAACGTAGTAATTGATTTTTATATGAAATGGTTTTCTTTTATGAACAGGATTAGGTTCGGCGAGAATTTCTTTTATCATACTTCATTCTAGAATTATTTTATTTTATAGATTATGTTTATTTTGCACTAGATTATAAAAATGTGTTAAAATTGTTTCTTATATATTATATATCAATTTATTGCCTTACTATTTACTACATTGCTATATACTGGTTATATTTGTCCTTTCCCGGTTTATTTATTTATTTTATATTTTTAACTTTTGTGTAACCTGCCATAGATTATCGAATCTTTTTACTTTTAGCCTGTTCAGTTGCCAAATTGTTTAACTGAAGAATTTCTTGGGAAATTATGAATTATTTTATATTATTTTGGGGTTTTAACATGGATATTGATGTTTTTGGGCTGACATATTCGAAAAATATAAGCCTATAAAAAAATTCACAACTCTAATCTCACTTTACCCTCATCCTTACCCTAAACTTAACCGTAAACCCAACCCTAACCAGACCTATAACCTAACCATAAATTTAACCCAACCGATTAGGATTAAAGTTAGGGATTAGGGGTAAAGTTAAGTAAGGTTAATTTAGGTAGGGAAAGGATTATGATTACATTATGATTAGGTTGGCTACAGGTTAAATTTATAATCAGTTTAGCATAGGGACTTGAGTTTGGGTGAGGTTAGAGAAGAAAGAGGGAGAGTTGTGAAAAATGCAGATAGTGATAAACGAAAGAATTTATACGTTTTTTTCTAAGAATTACGTTTCTTAATTAAAAGTATTTATAACTATATTTTCTATTTCTCTGTTATATTTCGAAATGGAATGATTAATGAATTGGTCTTGATTAATAAATCTTCTACCTCGCTTCCAATAAAAAATAAATAAATAAGTAAAATAAAAAAATATTCAATAAATCAACCAAGACGATAAAATTGTCACCTTGTAGCCAAAAAGATCAAATCAAATCCCAAAAATCCCATCCGAGGACATTATTGTTGAAAAACAAGCAGACGTATTAGAAAAGCCAAAAATAACAATAACCATAAATCAAGCAATTGACAATCAACATTGTACGGTTTTAACGGACGGAGGACCACCCGAACGTAATCGGGAGGCGTAGAAAAAATATAAAATAAAACAGTTTTTAAAATAAAAAATGATTGAAATATAAAATAAAGAAATGAAATAATAGACTCACCAAGCTGATGTTGTGGCGAATGATAAAAGGTGGGCAGGAAATAGAAGGATCCAGTAGCGATGAAAAATAGGGTATTTGGGGAGGACGGCCCACTTACAAGTACCAGCAACTCCGGCGTTTTGGCGAGGTGTAAAATCAATCCAGAAAAAATTCCAAGCGATGCTAGAAGAGATTTTACAGAAAGAGGTCTGTAGAAAAGCGTTTGCGGGTTCACACAAAAAAAAAATAGAAAAAATGGAAAGTGGAGCGTGCTGAGACAAAAAAGGCTAGGCCATAAAAGCGACTGATGTGTGGTACCCGGAGTGGGGCGGCCAATCCTTAGACCGGGCTTCCCGGTATAATAATAAGTAAATGATAAACAAAATAGGCGGGCGGTTCTTTAAAATAAAAATGAAAAATGAAAATCCGAACAAACATAAATGTACCACCTTCAAGACTCCAACAGGCATCTCATCTCCCAATCTTTTCTCATTAACGACGGGGACGAAACAGAAGATTCTCCTCCATACACTTTTTCAAAACCATCACCAATATATATATATATATATATATATATATATATATATATATATATATATATAAACAATATGCTGGCCCCACCTGGCGGAAACTTATACTAAAGATCGTAACATTCCAGCAAGGTGTGTCCTCTGCCAGAGAACGCATACCGCATACTACAAACCAAAAAAACTACAGCGATTGAGATCTCCTCCAGTGTATGACCTCCCCTCCGCTCAAAGAAAAACTGCATCTAATACCGGATGCGAACGGAAGTTTTTCAGGGAATCCAAGTGGTTAATGATGTTATTAAAAATTACTATTATTTTTACATAAAGCAACCCTTTTTTCCAATAAAGAATGTGGGCGATTTTGATTATAAAACTTTAATTTAAATGGAAAAGAATGCGATGAAAAAAACATCCGTCTCTGCCACAGCTTTCCTAATTTATATCTATTTTTAAGCTCCGTTCGTTTTTCCTTTCGAGAAAAGAGGTCAATCGGTCTTCATTTATCATCTGTTTTCTTATACAGATAAATCAGACAATTTTCTACGGTATTGTGAGAAATATTGATAGATGAAATTATATTTAAATTTAAAAAATGATTAGAAATTTAGATAGGTTAAACCTGAAACGTAAACATGAAAAAAAGACGGATTGGTTTCGTCGAGAAAGTGGAATAACGGTTCTATTTGTTCCACAAGATACAATTATTTGCTTTCTTTTAAAAATCACTTATTAATTTATAGCATAGCAGATCACCAAGCGATGTAAAATTATATCAGTTTTGGGTTTTATTTTTTTCTCATTTTACTGTGCAATGAACATGATAATTTGTCCAAAAGTTTCATTAAATCACTTTACAATTTCTATAGAAAAAACTTAACTGGTCGATTAATTTTGTGTTAGTCATTGACTTGTTGAGTAGAAAAATAAAATTGGAGAAAAACGTAAAAACAATTAAGAGAATTGTTATACTATAATACTGTTCAAAGAAAAGACAAACTTTCAATAGCCATATATATATAAACTCTCCTGTGTAAAATATTTTGTTATTTTTGAAAACAATTTAAATGATTTTTTTTTGTCTGCATAACTGGCCGAGTATGATAAGACGAATATGGTAGTCAATTGTACAGAAGGAATTAACAAGATTCATGCCTAGCGTTGTTTCCCATCAATCCTTTTAACAGAAAGAGTCACAAAACAATATTTTTGTTACGTTTGGAAAAATTCAGATACACTAAACAGAGTCGGACTGGATTTCGTTTGTGAAACACATTGGTTCATTGGCCAATATGTCCTTCCATTATAAACTTATTTGGCTAACTGTAGAATTGGTATGCGAAATTAAAAAAAGAGAACAAATAAACCAAAAATCCTATATAATTTTCCATGTTAAAAAAAATAAATAAACGACAATTGTCATTTTTGTGATTACATATTCATTTGTTATTATATTATTTTATTGATTTTTAGGTTATAAAGAAAGGGATTTAGTTTTTATAGCATTATTTAATTATTGACAATGTAACAGCTAGCACATATCAACATAATTTTACATCGCAGAGAGCGATTTTGCTCTCCATTTTTTACTATTGACATATTTTTAGATACATAATTGATTATAATTTAATGTAATTTTAATTTGTAAACTTTTATATTAAGATTTAAATTAAAAACACAATGAAAGTCTGTATCATAAAAAAATTATATGATGTTTTATCCTCATCTCGCAGTTTGTGAACAACGTAGCCCTGACATGTCATTAAAAATTTATAAACAATTTAGCTAACCGTAATAGTAATCTCATGGTCTAATTTTTCTTAAAAAATTACTCACATTGTAATTTTTTTTGTTAAGTGTTAAAAACGATACCGTTATATATGTTCATCAACTGTTCAAGTTTCATAGTTAAACCTATCCTACCTTACTCTAACAATAGCCATTACTTAGCCTAACCAGTCCCTAACAATTCCCTTAATTCAACTTGCTTAACAAAATTTATCCCTAGCCCTTACTCTAATAATAAAACTACCTAATAAAACCAACTCGGCCCAGAACCATAACCCAACCTAACCTTACCTCACCAAACCTTATCCTACCGGTCTAAACTCTTCCTAACATATTCCATCCTCTCTCTAACACTAATTGAACCGTACCACATAATAATATTCAATATTTGTTTATACTGAAGGCTCATAAGTTGTCTTACTCATTTTTTCAAATCTTTTCATCCAATAAGGAGCCATGCCGAAGGGTCGAGCGAAAACCACCTGTTGTCGACAAAAATCATTTTATCTGAATATTGGATTCTCTTTACCATCATACTGTGCGACGATTTCTGTTCGAAAAGGCTTTTGATTTTTTCAAGAATTTTCTTGAGATTAGAAAAATTCAACTTTTAACAGAATGTGTGGTGATTAGTGACCGTTAATCGATAATTATTCAGAAATCGTGAGATGCGGTCTGGTGTGATGTAGGTTTCAGACAAACATTTTCTTTATCGTGCCAACGTTTCGATCTTTATTGAGATCATCTTCAGGGCCTGGGATTTTCAAACATTGTTTACGTTTAACATATAAATTTAGGATGTGGAAAAGTGAATTTATACAATGCAAAATATATTTTTTTATATTCAATCAAAGTATTTCTACTCACTCAAAGTGTTTGTCTTCTGTGTAATTGTGCCATTCTTGCGTGTCGTGTTTAGAATGCTAGTAAGACTTTGCTGTTTTATGTTTATATACGTTGGATTTTGAAGGGGTGGGGAAGGAAGTCGGTATAGAAAAGACATTTTTGTATAACGCGTCGGCTTCTTGGAAGTGACGAAGGGAAAAAACGTTGGTAATGGTTCGGCCAGTTTATCATTTCAGGATTATACAGACGGGGATAAATAGGAAAAGGAAAGCTAAATTGTTGGACAATTAGACTATGAAAAATATCTGATGTCTGGATTGTAATGTAATGATATATGCATGTTATCTATATTGAATTTGATTAATGATATTGGCGTAGCTGCGACTGAGTTCACATGTGTCTGTTTTGTAATTGATGCTGTGTTTATCTCAATACAGACATCTCACGATTTCTGAATAATTTTGACAGAATTTTGTGGTGCACTGCTAAGAAGCAATAATGGAAAAAACTATTAATTCCAACTGTCATATGTAAGATTTAGCGTTTTATTAATGCGCCTTTAAAATATTATTAATTTTTGCCATTGAATATTGTTAACCTTTACTGAAAACAGGCTCGCTCTGGTGTAATGATTACGTTTCGTTGGAATTGGATTGATATGTCGGCTTGAAGACTCGACTAATCCATCCTGGTGGTACAACATAACTGGGGTTAAGCCTGCGGATTACTGAATCATCTCTGACTCTTTTCCATAAGATTAAATCTACCGGCTATTGCGATCCCACTGTATTGTTTTGCCGATTTCATTACTGGTTGAGTTTTCTTTCTTGTTGCAATATCAATTATAATTCACTAGTTTTCGTGGTCCGCTCGACCAATTATTATCTTTCAATTTAATAAAGTTTTTAGTTGAGTCACGGACTTTTTTATCTCACTAAAAACCTTAATTAATCAACTATAATTTTTAGTTTTTCTGGTATATCTAGATGAGAATATTTAAAATGTAAATTAAAAATATGTAATTGATTTTATCATAATCAGTATTGATTTAGTCGTTTTTCACATTATTACTTGTGTTTAAATTTATAATGAAAGTCTCAATGCCACCTTTTGAATTTTCCCTCTCTTTGGCCATTTTTCGAATGTCGTGTAATCTATTTGATTCTCGGCGACAAATGAATTGGCCACGGAGAGCTTTAGTGAAGTTATACTTCATTTTAACTTTTTAAATTCACTAGGTTTTGTGGTCCACTTGACTTCAATCCACTCAAACACTAACTTTCCATCTCAACCCCACCTTTTAAATTTCCCTTTTTTTGCCATTTTTCCAATGTCAAATGTTAAACTAGTGAATTTAATAAGTTAAAATGAAGTATAACTTCACTAAAGCTCTCCTTGGCCATTTCATTTGTCGCCGAGAATCAAATAGATTACACGACATTTGAAAAATGGCAAAGGAGGGAAATTTCAATAGGCGGGGTTGAGATGGGAAGTTAGGGTCCCAGTGGATCGAAGTCACGATAGCTCAAGACTCAGTGGTAGAACAGCGGCGTATCTAGCCGCAGATCGTGGGTTCGAATCCCGTTCGTGACATTGACTTTTTATCTCAACTAAAAACCTTAATTAATTGAAAGATATTAATTGATCAAGCGGACTACGAAAACTAGTGAATTTATAATGAAATAGCGGGATTTTTTGTTATTGAAAAACTGTCGGGAAGCAATGAATTTTGGAAAAACAATTGAACTGAGAATGTAACGGAATAATGAATTGTAATGTTAAAATGATTTATACGGTTGTCTCATTCACCGTCTGTGTTTATTTTCCTTTTGTGCTCCTCCAGTGGGATGCCTTTATTTAGAATCCCTTCATAAAACAAACAGTAAATAGCCGCGGAAAGGGTTCTGAAAGAAGACTAATTAGTTGCATAAATTCGTTAAATGTCGGAGGACATAAAAGGAAACGATTCACGCCATTCCTTGTCAAATTAGAGACTCTTTTTCCTTACGTCTTTCCATTTAGATACAACGGAAGCGTCGACCCAGCCTCGTTCGGCAAAGGAAGATTAAAGACGAGGGCACCATTCGAGAAACGAAAATCAAATTTTCCGGATGAAACGACCTGAGGAATTGTATTTCCTCCATCATTCGGTTGGGGGCGGAATGAGCTTTTAGGAACCAATCAGGGCCGCGACCGCCGATCCCGATAGGCCGGAAAGCAATTAGGCGCCTTTGCTCACGCCGATGTCAATATCCAAAAGCATAGGAATTCATCGGCCATGTACTGTCGACTCCTGTTAATTCAAAACTAGATAATCCTAATTTCTTGACGGTACGAACTCCTCAGCAGGTCGCGTTGATAAATCGAAAAAAATGTATGCATTTCCATACACTCGGTAATACGAAATATTTTTTGTTACAGGGGGAAAAAGGGCATTCCATAAATCGAAATGGATCCACTTCTACTCTTTCCAATCGGAAATTTTCTTTGTAATATTCCTCTAAATTTCCAGTATTGTTTGCTTCAAGTTTCTTTTAAGTTTCTCTAGTCTGTTATGCACGATTGTCCGTGTTTTGTCAATTTGTTCCCAGCGTTGATTACTTTGAAAAATCTTCCCTTTCATACCATGTAAATAAAATTTGAATTTATATTCATTTTACTACTCACATTCTCTCTCTCTTTTTCTCTCTCTCTCACTCTCTCTATTGTCTTTCTCCCATTGTCAATTTCTCTCTCTTTATCCGCTGATACCTTTCTCTCTTCATCACTCCTTTTTCTGTTTTGCTTTTTTATACAGGGTCAGACAGTCTTTTCTGTTTGTCTTTTTGCCTTTCTTCTTTACATCTAGTGTCATAAAATCAAATAATTATTTGGAAGCATATTTATTTAAATAAGGAACTTTCAATATCAATTTTTTAACCCCCCTCTCTCTCTCTAATAAAATCATAAAAAACCAAATTTTTAACTTTTCTTGCCACTGATAACTCAAATTGAAAAGTGTAATGAACGGTGCTTAAAAATCTGAGGCGTGGTGTGCTTGTTGAGAAAAACAACACGTTTCTCTTCCGAGCTTTTCGTTAATGGGTGCCTTTTGTCGGTAGAGCAACAATAAATAAAATTTCTTCTGCTCCCAGAAATTTCAGAACTTACAAACTAACCTAATTAATCAATATGTTAACAGAAAAACATGCTAAGAATTTTTATGAAGGAAAAGGGATCATTGCTTTCCAATAAGTATAAAAACCTGGCAATAAAATCATCACAATTTATTTAATAAAATGTTAACATTTATTTGTACCATATTTTTGTATATTCTCTAAATAGAAAGAAAAAACACACAATAAAAAACAACAGTTTCTATGCAACATTCGATAGCTTAAATTTAATCCGTGTTTAATACGTAACCAATAAAAAAACCTGGTAATAAAATCATTACAATCTATTTAAGAAAATGTTAACATTTATTTGTACCATATTTTTTTATATTCTCTAAATGAGTGACAGAAAAAAACACACAATAAAAAAAACAGTTTCTATGCAACATTCGATAGCTTAAATTTAATCCGTGTTTAATATGTAACCAATAAAAAAAACCTGGTAATAAAATCATTACAATCTATTTAAGAAAATGTTAACATTTATTTGTACCATATTTTTTATATTCTCTAAATGATTGACACAAAAAAACATACAAAAAATTTCTTATGCAACATTCGATAGCTTGAATTTAATCTGTGTTTAATAATTAACAATTTATTAATATTTTAAATATTTTTTTAGCTGCGAAAGCGTCGATTCGATCGTCGTGTACGACTTCTTCGATGGGAGGCTTGAGAAATCGGAAGTCTTCTGTGGTGACGAAGTCCCGAGGCCGATCATGTCCAACGGGCCCAGGCTTATGGTTCATTTCCTCGGCAGGTTTTCTTCCATGCACGCCATCGGCTTCAAGGCGAAATACCGTTTTACCAGCAGTAAGTCGGACACGTTTATACCAAATGCATAAATCATAGGATTGGAGTGGCTCGCGAAAATTGGTTCGCCATTTATTTACATGGATGAACATATATAAGATTCGTTGCTAAAAGTCCGAGATCCTGCATTTTTTCTTCCGTAAGTATATTCAGCAAAACATATACATTTTTTCTTGCTAACAATTTTCAAATAGAAACACTATCGCGACAAGTGCCACGTTATGCTAAAATGAAGGTAGAGCAGCCTTGCCAAATTATATATCATTTACAAACTTATATTTTGATGGATATTGAAAACTATCTGGGATAGGTCAAGGTAGAAGGATCCTCTAAGAAAGTCTTTTTCCAAGGCTATGAAACTATATTTTTTAAGTTATAAAGTTAACAAATATTGACAACTATCCCATATTTTAATACCTATGTTAATGTTTAATCAAGTAAACACTTATTTTTTTAATGAATTATTTATGCTCTCCTGCTTTTATTATTAAATAAAATTAAAGTTAAAGATGTTCATTACAGTTCGAAGTCCGATTGACCGAAGCACTTTATTCAATTGATTAATCTTTATGTAAGGTATTGGTTCAGATAAAAAAGTCAGTGTCACGAACGAGATTCGAACCCACGACCCTGGGCTAAACACGCCGTTGCTCTACCAGTTGAGGGAAGGGGGACAGAAAGGAAGGAAAATTCGAAACGTGATGTTGAGATGGAAAGGGGATCCGAATGGATCGAAGTCACGATAGCTCAAGTGGTAGAGCAGAGGCGTATTTAGCCAAGGATCATGAGTTCGAATCCCGCTCGTTACACTGACTTTTTTATTTCAACTAAAAACCTTAATTAATTGAAAGCTATAAGTTTAAATGAAGTATTTAAACCTTCACTAAAGCTCTCCGTAGCCATTTAATTTGTCGCCGAGAATGAAATAGATTACACGACATTTGATAAAAGGCAAAAAGGAGGGAAAATTCGAAAGGTGTGGTTGAGAAGGGAAGTTACAGCCGAGGGGATCGAGGTCACGAAAGGTCAAGTGGCAGAGCAGCTGCGTATTTAGTCGAGGGTCATGAGTTCGAATCACGCTCGTTACACTGACTTTTTTATTTCAACCAGTACCTTGCATAAAAAATTAATTAATTGAAAAAATTTATTCGGTCAATCGGACTACGAACTCTAATGAATTTAATAAGTCAAATGAAGTATATCTTCATGAAAACTCTCCGTGGCCATTTCATTTGTCGCCGAGAACCAAATCGATTACACGACATTTAAAAAGTGGCAAAAAGGAGGGAAAATTCGAGAGGTGAGTTTGAGATGGGAAGTTAGTGTCCGAGCGGATCGAGGTCATGATAGCTCAAGTGGGACAGCAGCGGCGTATTTAGCCGACAGTCGTGGGTTCGAATCCCGTTCGTGCTACTGACTTTTTTGTCTCAACCAATACCTTACATAAAAATTAATCGTAATAATTAATTAATTGGTTAAAGATAAACTAACAATTAATCCGAAATATGAACTAGTTTTTGTTACACACTCCCACAGACACCAAAGACTACTGACCGGTATAATCACTTGAATGCTCTCATGCTTGAATATAAAATATATCGGTGGCAAGAAGATATTATTTGTTTTATATCAACGAAAGCTATTATTTCTGATAAATGTATCCTTACTGACAAAAATGACCGTTTAAAGTGGATAATTTGTCTTTCGGTGTAAGTTGGAAGTTGATACACTTTCCCCCAATTCAGGGGTTGAAACAATTCTTACGGAAAATTACGTTAGGTGAAAAGCGGGGAAAAAAGGTCGTAAAATTGGCCTCGATTCGTTTTTCCACGGTAGACCGAATTATGTGAAAATTAGGCCTTGCGGACCGTCTAACTCACGTTTACAATCCTCTGTAAATCTTCTCGACAAACAAGGCCATTGCATTTTTAAACATTAGCACAACTTTTTATATCTTAAACTTTCTAAAGAGGAAAGTTGGCATTCAGAAAAGATTGGAAAACTTGTAGCTTGTTAGAAGAAATTCACGGGGCACAATTGGATCCATTGTAATTAACATTAGAAAAGCTAGTCCAGATATTCTGTTATGATATTTAACACCAAAACCAAATTCTGGATGCTTTAAACATTTTGTTTAATTTATTGAATGTCTAATTTAGCCCAAAGGAAAACACCTCACATAAACAATCTTTTAATAAACTACAATATAAATCAAGCATGTTTATTTACACAAAAGTATTATTGAATTAAATTTTAAATGGTACAATTACATGTACGATGTGGTTAGAATTGCAAAGTATATTGGTTGTGGGAAGATGTACTTGTGACCCAACGACCTTCAAAATAGCCTCATTAGTGCTTACCACAAGATGAAAATCATTTAAAGCATTCCATTAAAAACAAATTAAAACAATTATTTTAAACGAAAGAGCACATAAATTATTGCAGTTTTTATTTGATCATTAATAAGGTGTACCTATGAGGTATTGATTATGAAGTATCAGGTAATTACTAAAGAAAATATTAGATTTAATATATGAGTAATTAAAGTATTAATTACAATACGTATTACAATGGTAATATAAGTTTATCGTTTTTAATTTTTTCATTCATAATAATTTAATTAATATTTATTTAATATTCTGTGTACTCATCTGACACGTTCCATCATTTCGTCATCTTCACTATGGGCCTGTGTGATTTTTGCGTTGTCAAGTCCCTTTTAAAAGGTAGTGAGTAGTGGGGTGCGTGTATGGAGTCTCTGTGGTAGGTGAACTAAGCCTTTTTTTCCGTTCGGACATAAATATAACTCGTTCTAATGAACTGAATTTTGTTTCGACGTAAATGCTACTTTTCACAGGAATAAATTTTTCTTAAGCATATTTGTACGAACAATAAATATTATTTCAATTCGATTATTAGTTGGTCTCATATCGTGGCAAGTATAAACAATTCTCGTTTTTTGCAAAACGGTGAAATATCATGGCAACGAATCTACTTGATTCTTTTGCGCATTACAGGACCCCAAATAATTTGTACAGCGATCATCATGTCAATAAATTTGATCGGATCAACGGGGCCGTAGATAGGACCGGATGATGTATTGGGCGAAATCGTTGACGATCAGATCTCAAGGAGGATACGTTTTTCAAGTAGGACACCGGCGCTGTTTATAAGAAACGAATGGATGCGCCAAAGAAAAAGAAATGCTTATCAATTTCTAACATTTAATGTTAAATATGCGCCTCCAGTAGTTTCAAATAATGTTTGTAAAAGTATCACCTCTTTATTTACTTTATTCATAATTAGGTAATAAAATATTATAATATTAAATAGGTAATAAAATATTATAGTAATTAAAAGAATTTAATACACGTAATACTTTTTATATGAAAAATAGCTAAAATATATTATACATATAAGGCAATGATTAAAGAAATCATTTAATCAGTTAGACAATGTGGACAAAAGTTTTTCAACGTTTTCAAAAAAATTAACGTCATTGTTTTCATAATTTTAGTTTCAAATGAATTTAAAGTTGAATTGTTTTTTCAACTTCATAGAATTGTTTTAAAAAGTTTAAAACCAAATAATAAGGAAGACTTTAAATTTATTTTTGAGATAAAACGTTATAAAATGGGACGGAGGGAAATATATATATATAGATAGATAGATTGATAGACAGATAGAGAGAAAGGGATAAACACGGCATAAAGGAAGAAAAAGCGAAAGAGGGAGAGGGAAAAAAGAAGTAAGTGGTTGAGAGAGAATGAGAGGGACGTTATGTACTAGCAAGATTTGGCTAAACATCCAACCTTCTATTTCTCCAAACATGGTTACGGGCTGAGATTTAAAAAAAAATATTATGAACATAGTCATGGCAGTTCTATCCGACTGAAAATTAAAGAAAAAGTAGAGAGAGTAAGAAAAACACGACAAACTTGCTTAAAGGTTAGTGAGTGTGTGTGTGTGTGTGTGTGAGAGAGAGAGAGAGAGAGAGAGAGAGTGAGTGAGAGGGATAAAGTAAAAGGAAGAGATAGAGAGAAAGGGATAAACACGGCATACAAGAAGAAAAATCGAGAGTGAGAGAGGGATAGAGAAAGTGAGGGGGTTGAGAGAGTGAGAGAATGAATGAATAAAATACCGTTTTAAAATATTTAAAATTAAATTCACTAATTTCGTGGTCCGCTTGACCAATTAATATATTACAATCAATTTAAAATTATAGACGAATAACCGAAGCCTGGCGTGTTGTGTTTTTACACGGAAATAAAGAGAAAAAGATATAGCGAAAAAGAGAGTAAGAGAGAGGGAGAGAGAAGGAGTGAAAAAGAGAAAATGTGTGAGAGGGGAAAGCCAAATGAAATATAGAGAAGGAGAAAAAACCCGAAAAAATGAAAATGAGAAAAAATTTAATTTATATGTATGTTGTATTTGTATTATCATAATGGAAATAATAGACCAATAACAGAAGCCTCGCACATTGAATTATAAATATAAATAAAGAGAGAATGTTAAAGCGGAAAGATATGAGAGAATGGGGAGAGAGGGAGAATGAGAGAGAGAGAGAGAGAGAGAGAGAGAGAGAGAGAGAGAGAGAGAGAGAGAGAGAGAGAGAGTGGGAGGTAGAGTTTGTTAGATAGACAGATGGATCTATAGAGAAATAGAGAGAGGTAATGATATACAGAGATAATGGAAACAAGAGGAAGGACAGACAAATTGTCACACAATGATTAACTTGTTTTCAGGTCATTTTAACAAAAATAACATTGATTGTCCCTGACGAGTTTCTTAGCTAATTTTTCACGCATTTGATGAAATTGCCTTGGTTTGTTGTTTCGATTTTTTTTTTTTTTTGGGGGGGGGTTAAAAAATTGTATAAATGGAACTAGAAATCTTCCACCCTCTGACAGATCGTTTACTTTCCATGGTGTAGGATTTAAAAACTTAGCATAGGAATGGCTACCGGCGAACTGAGGGATACTAATGCTGGGTTGTACACGGTCCAGAACTAAGCGATTTTTCTTTATAAAATAGATCGTAACGAGAGATTTATAGTCATATACCTTACAAGACCATTGCCTCATGTAAAAAGGGCCTAGGATAAAAACGTTATTGTTAAGGTGTTGAATATAAACAAGGGAGGGGCAATTTGATTCGGTATTCGGGAATATCCGGTCGAAGATAAAACTATCGCCACGCCGGCGGTTTATATCGCCACATAACTGTTTTTACGATATAACCAGGAAAAGGGTTTTTATCATGTCATAAACGGAAAACAAAAGTTCCGAATCGAAACGAATAAACTCGTTTTATGATTCTCATGGAGTAATTTTTTTCCAACACAAAAGTTGTGTAATTCTACAAAACCAGATGTGGTATGTGTTGTATTAGTTTATTTAAAAAACAAAACAGTTTGTATGTTTGATTCATGAGAGTTTTTTGGGTTTCTACCTAATCCAAAACTTTTTTGAAACATAATTAGAATTAATACTACATTTTTAATTATTTTATCGGCTTCTACTTAATTATATAAATACTCAATTTAAAAAATTTAAACAAAATTTGTGTCACAGGCGGGATTCGAACCCACGACTGTGACACAAATTGTTCATTTCGAAAAAATTGTGTATAATTAATTGAGTATAACTATAATTAGTTGTTAGTAATTACAGTTGGTTACTCTTTCAGTCCTAGGCAATGTTGGAACTGAGTCGGTTTTTATACAAATTGGAAAACATCTATTCAATTATGTCAATTTGTAGACATCAATAACTGCTACCTTAATAATGACCTTAAAATAAGGTCTAACTCTTTTGTTCAGTCCACATCCAGTTTATTCATGAGTAATAAAGTTGTAGATACATTGAACAATTTAATCAAGCAGTGGCCCAATACATATAAACTTAGTGATTGACTTATGCAATGTTTCGTAAATCAATACTGATCATAAACTGTATGAAGAACAGTTTCAAATTATTTTATTAACCGTTTATATCAATATTTTTATTGTCTACCAACGGTAAAAATAATTAATTAAAAATCTGTTTTAAGTAAAAAATATTTTTTTTAAATAATGCAGTTATTTATTAAAACTGATTAAATGAGACCATATATTCATTTTATAATGACTAATTTAGAAATAAACTTACAATTAATGAAGGTTTATAGTTGAGATAAAAAAGTCAGTGTCACGAGCGGGATTCGAACCCACGATCTTCGGCTAGATACGCAGCTGCTCTACTACGATCGCTCCTAACAGTCCAAACGGAGCGACGCCGTTCCAAAAACCACCTCAATGGCAAAACTAAACTGGCGTGCCTGGCTGTGCCGAATATTCGACCGGTCCAAACTCCATCGCGCCACTCCAAATATCTACGGCGCGACGACGGCATAGCGCGTTCGTGAATGGAAAAACCTGGCGTGAACAAATGTCTATTTGATTCGGCCACAAATGAAATGGCCACGGAGAGTTATAGTGAAGTTATACTTCATTTTAACTTATTAAATTCACTCGGTTTCGTGGTCCGCTTGACCAATTAATATCTTTCAATTAACTAAGGTTTCTAGTTGAGATAAAAAGTCAGTGTCACAGCGGGATTCGAACCTACGATCTTCGGCTAGATACGCCGCTTAATTAATTGAAAGATATTAATTGGTCAAGCGGACCACGAAAATTAGTGAATTAGAAATAAACAATTAACAAACGCACTGTAGTCCACACATTAGTGTCATAGTTTAGTCTAATTGAGTATCTACAGTATGTTTCTAAAGAACTAATTCAAATGGCTTAGCCCTCTTCAGTCTACAATTTGCCGATTACGTAGCAGGCTTGCCTCGCTGCTCGGTTGGCTTTGTAAACGAAGGTAGTGCATATAAGTATGCTGCGTGATCTCCGTCCCGATGTGCGGGATACCAAGGATCATTTACCATATTTCGTCGAAATTTGCTTTTGACACGTTGTATTTTGATTGTACTACTTCTTTTGGAACAACCCCACATAAATAGTGTAAATAGTATATTACAATTAATTAAGGTTTTTAGTTGAGATAAAACGTCAATGGCACGAGCGGGATTCGAACCCACGATCTTTGGCTTGATACGCCGCTGCTCTACCACTTGAGCTATCGTGACCTCGATCCACTCGGAAAAATGGCAAAAAGGAGGGAAAATTCAAAAGGTGCGGTTGAGATGGGAAGTTGGTGTCCGAGTGGATCGAGGTCACCATAGCTCAAGTGGTAGAGCAGCGGTGTATCAAGCCGAAGATCGTGGGTTCGAATCCCGCTCGTGCCATTGACTTTTTATCTCAACTAAAAACCTTAATTAATTGTAGTGTATTAATTGGTCAAGCGGACCACGAAATTAGTGAATTTAGTAAATAGTATATTTATTTAGCCATATATGTGTAGCGGTCATAATTGACCTATTTAATTATTTCAGTTAATTATACATTTTATCTGAAATCTTGGTTGAGATGAAAACGTTAGTGTCCCGCTCGTGACACTGACTTTTTTATCTCGACCAAGACCTTAGATAAAATGTATAATTAATTGAATCATGTTTGTTAGAAAAAATTAAAATTTGCTTGAAAAATTTTAACCAACTGTAATTACGAACAAATAATGCTAATGATTTTCCGAGGGATATTTGGTGGGAGTCGTTTTGCTCTCTGTTGGCAAAACCAACAAGAGCCCTTATGTGGAAAAAAGTGTCGTAATCAAAATTTAATTTCCCCCATTAGTCGGACGAGAGGGAAACACATGTGATGCAATAATAATTAAACTGGAGGGTTTTTGCTTGCTGGCCTCATGCCCTCGAGAATTTACTAATGAGCTTACCAAAAAGCCGACAGCTTTGAAAATAAATAGCGTTAGGACGAACTTTTCTTTGCCTGATAATATGAAGGATGGTTGTCTTTGTCAAAAAATAATCTATTTATTTATTCGTTATTTATACAATTGACAGTTTATTGTGATATCACAGTTGTTGTCTTTTTCAGGTTTCGGCATCTCCGGAGGGAAGCAAGTGGAGGACTATCCATGCGCATTCCGTTACCGCTCCACTTTGAGCCTTTCCGGACGATTTACAAGTCCGAACTTTCCCGGCTTCTACCCCAGGGATATTGAATGTCATTACTTCTTCCACGGATCGCCCAATCAGCGAGTCCGCATATCTTTCCACTATTTCGATATAGAAGGAATCGTACCGTAAGTCAATCGATCAATAATTGACAAATTTATCAACCCTTAACGTATAAAAGTTCCTTTAGGACTAAAATGCATTTCACTTTAAGTTCAGGTTCCTAACTTACTAATCCGTCTGTTCTCGCTTTTGTATTTACTTGGTCCATCAATCTTCAGAGGTTCGTCTGTTTTCAGAAACCTACACTAATGACATACTAAGACTTAGGCAACTACTGAAAGAGCCAAAATATCAAAATGCTTATTACAAAACAGCGAGAATATGTGGGCCAGACCAGAATAATCGGAAAGGACCTATATATATATGCATAAGAATTCTTGCAAGAAAAGTTATCGATAATAAAAACCTAATTTTTATTTCATTTTTTAAATGTGCCATTTATAAACAGTTATAAGCAAAGATACGAAATATTTTACACGTTGCTAACTTTTAAAATCCCTTGTGTTATCTATCACGTTGTTCTTCTATCTTGAAGAAGTAATAATTGAGCTATTCATTAACTTTTATTATTGATGCGTTAGTAATGATTTTTCTGTGAAATTAAAACACTACATTTAGTGATAGAATAAATTGTTATTTAAATCTATCATTAAATGATTCTCCCATGTTTTGGCGAATTTTCTTTCAAACCATCATGACTAAACCTTTCTAAATAAAACTAGTAATTTTCTGATCACCTTTAATTTGGTTTACGTTTAAATAAGTAAGTTGTAATTGATATAAACATGAAAAATACATATAGTTTGAACTAAACAACTGTGTTCAGTTTTTGTCTTTGAGTGTATAGATAGTGTGATCGGAAAAGACAAAATTATACGGTAGAAATTGCAATAAACGGAGACCAAAAACGACAAAATGGTTTTGAAAAGTAGTAGTAAGTAGTAATTGCCGGGCTATTATATACTTGTGCGATTTCTCAGTATCATGTTAGATTACATGAACCTGCAATTTGTTGGTTGGACTCATTCTCACGATGTAGCTTTTTTGTTTAACTTCACTTGAATGAAATCTGCCTTGAGAGCCTCCCATTAAACAGAGTTGATGAAATAAAGTTTGAAGTAGTGCAAACGTCGTTTAAGTCCAGACTTCGGAGCGAGAGATAATAGATCAAGTAGAATAGGAAGAATAAATACATTTGTAAACGAGAGGATGAGGATAACAAAAATAAAACCGGTGCATTTTACTTGGATGACTCCTCAGATCTGATGATAACCTGAAACTACATTTCACATTAGTAAAAAAAATTTCGGAATGTGTGGTGATTAGTGACCGTTAATCGATAATTAAATCGTTAGATGCGGTCTGGTGTGATGTAGGTTTCAGAAAAACATTTTCTTTATCGTGCCAACGTTTCGATCTTTATTGAGATCATCTTCAGGGCCTGGGATTTACAAACATTGTTTACATTTAACAAATACATTTAGGATGTGGAAAAGTGAATTTATACAATGCAAAATATATTTTTTATATTCAATCAAAATATTTCTACTCACTCAAAGTGTTTGTCTTCTGTGTAATTGTGCCATTCTTGCGTGTCGTGTTGAGAGTGCCAGTGAGATTTTGCTGATTTATGTTTATATACGTTGGATTTTGAAGGGGTGGGGAAGGAAGTCGGTACAGAAAAGACATTTTCGTATAAGGCGACGGCTTCTTTGAGGTGAAAAGAGCGGACGAAAGGAAACAATGTGTTGGTAATGGTTAGGCCAGATTATCCTTTCAGGATTATATAGAAAGGAATAAATAGGAAAAGGAAAGCTAAATTGTTGGAAAATTGGACTATGGGAAAAATATTTGATGTGTGGAATTTAATGTAATGATATATGTATGTTATCTATGTTGAATTTGATTAATGATATTGGCGTAGCTGCGACTGAGTTTACATGTATCTGTTCTGCTGTTGATGCTGTGTTTATCTCTGTTGATGTAAACCATTTCTAAAAAGTTACTTCTGTTTTGTTCTGTGTAATATTTTTGGATTGTCGAAGTCGAAATTGTGTTGGTGTGTAAAATGGTGGGTAGCGAATGCTGTAGGATTTTGCTTGGCTTTCTTGCAATCATATGTTGCTTTAATCTCTTGTCCAAGTATTGGGATGTAAGACCGATGTAAGTTGACGGACAGTTTAAACAGTTGATCTTGTAGATGACGTCAGATTTATTTGTTATTGGTGTGGGATCTTTAATTTTGGAAAAAAGTGTTTGGATTGTTTTATAACAGGCCCTGAAGATGATCTCCATAAAGATCGAAACGTTGGCACGATAAAGAAAATGTTTTTCTGAAACCTACATCACACCAGACCCCATCTCACGATTTCTGAATAAATATTTTCGTAGTTTATAATTAGAACCATGAAATCTTAAAAAATTACTTTTTGTTCTCACATACGAAATCTATTTTAAAAGTAACGGTATTTATGATGCCCCGTCTTTTATATATAATTTAATGTGGCCTGCATATTCATTGGATCTCCTCTCCGAAGAATCTGTATACCACCGTACAGAATGATCTGGCTAAATTCGGTAGCCATTTGCTTTATAGTCAATTTTCCTAAACCATTTCTCTATTTACCTGGTTAGAAGATAATTTAGAACGATTCTACTTAAAGGATGTTTTAAGGCTATTTAAATGTAAAACGTCTCACTATGTATATCTAAAGTCGTTAACTCTTGTAGGGGAGGGGGTAGAAGGGTTAGTCCCTCTATGCAACTCACGTTCTTTAGATAATGCTTCCAATTTTTTCCTTAAATGCAAAATGTTGTGGGAAAATATGAAGCATTATTTCGAAAGTTTCACATTCATAAAAGAAAGATAAATACAATTTTTGGACATCAGACTATGCTCAGTAAACTGCTAACATCAGAAAATCATAACGGCTCCTCACATTTTGACACTCTTCCATTTTTTCTTACCCCTTTCTCTGACGGCTAATCCTTACATATGTTATTAAAATTTTCTAGTTAAATTAGAACATACTTATTTAGAAATCGTGAAATGCGGTCTGGTGTGATGTAGGTTTCAGAAAAACATTTTCTTTATCGTGCCAACGTTTCGATCTTTATTGAGATCATCTTCAGGGCTCAAAGTGTTTGTCTTCTGATAATTGGGCCATTCTTGCGTGTCGTGTCGAGAGTGCACTAAATATCGATTAATGGTCACTAATCACCACACATTTATACATTCATACGATCAATACGAATTCTTAGCGATGGTTAGGGGTGGTAAGTTAATATCGCTATGTTAAATCTAGGCTAAAGTTATGTACAATATAAACTTACGTTGAGGAGGTCGTCAAGGCATTTTTTAACTTGACATCCTCCCATCATTCACACCAACGATTACTTTAACACCGAAGAAAAATCACACATTCAGTAAGCTATGTTGTTATAACTGGTTCGACAGGTCTGCGGGTACTCGCGATTTCACATCTTACCCATACATACTTAACTACTCAGTCAAACTAATCCACTCACATAATCAAGTTGACACCAGGGGTGATGTTACGCCAGAGAATGCATCGTATTACACTGCAAATGTATATATGTAAAATTAAATAACTTGGTGTGTCTGTGTATGCGATATTTATCACAAATACACCTAAAAATACTCCAATGTTCACTTTATAAATACGTTCTTTCTAATTAAGAACATTATTTCAACTAGTGTATGAAAAGGTTCACTGTATGCGATCATATAGGTTTATCTACTTCAGGTTTCGAATCAACTTCTTACACGACTACTGTGCTTTAAAAGTTTTGTAAATCTGCGGATAGGCCACACTGCATTTTGTAAGGTGCTAATTCCTCGTAATCGATAGCTCTTATTTTTTACATATAAAGGGCATCTCTTCTTTGGCGAGTAGTCAATATTGCTATTTTCTTGTTGATCGGCCGAATTAATAAACATAAAATCTGACAAAATGACAACTCGTTTTTTTTTAATTTAAGCTTTTTTAAATGTTTGCTAAAATAATTTTTAAAAATGCTTGTTCAAAAATGCACTGCTAAGAAATGAAATATATGTATTTAAAATGGCACAGGATTGCATAAACGTCTAAATATCATATTTTTTTACGTGTTTGTACATTGCTTACTTTTTCAATTATAAATATAAGCAATTAAAAATACATTAATATTTTTTATTGAATGAAGTTATAAAAGTATATTTCACCATATTAACCAGATTTCCATGAAAACCGTATACCCGGTTGTTATAACATCGATTGTGTTTCAGTATATCTTGTACTTGTCGAGAAGTAGTGTATAGGAGAAGTTAGGTGGAATTCCGAAGTATACAAGTTTCGGTAAATGGAACCCGTGATAATCACGATTCCCTATCACTGGGGGAAGGTATGGTAGATTATCTTTGATAAAAAGCCATGAATGGACGTCGTCAGGATTCTTTTTTAAAGTTAGCAAACGACTTTTGGAAGGCAGAGAGCAAATTCATCGTGCCAGTATTTCTCTGCCGTTTTATTCTTTCATTTTGAATAAAATTGTTTGGTGTTCCAATCAAATAAAAAGGAAATATCAGTTGAAAAATATTGACAAAAGATACAATCGCTAACAACCAAGAAAACTTGAAAGATTGTCCTATTTTATGACAATGGGTTTAATTTACTGGTTATTATTCAGAAATCGTGAGATGCGGTCTCGTGTGATGTAGGTTTCAGAAAAACATTTTCTTTATCGTGCCAACGTTTCGATCTTTATTGAGATCATCTTCATGGCCTGGGGTTTACAAACATTGTTTACATTTAACAAATACATTTAGGAAGTGGAAAAGTGAATTTATACAATACAAAATATGTTTTTTATATTCAATCAAAGTATTTTTACTCACTGAAAGTGTTTGTCTTCTGTGTAATTGTGCCATTCTTGTGTGTCATGTTGAGAATGCCAATGAGAGAGATATATAAACATAAAACAGCAAGATGAGAGAGAAAGTGAAAGGGGGCTGGAGAGAGAAAAAAGTGAGTGAGAGAGAGAGAGAGAGAGAGAGAGAGAGAGA